TACCCAGGTTTTAAATTGTATATACATGAACTGAGTTTTCAACATTTATTTTGGATTTTTTATTGGACAAATTAAAATTTGAATATTTTTTCTTATTATAATTAAAACTCTTTGTTTAGTTTTTAAAGGGACTCCACTGAGGTTTTTTGACATGACAGGACTGGAAATAATTTTTTGAGATTATTACTCCATTTGATGTAGATCTATACCAATAACTTATGTGCAAAATTTTAGATCATTAGCTCGCTCCATTTTTCCAGAATAATTATTATAATAGTGAAAAATGACCCAAAATTGAAAAGCGTTTAAATGCTTTTCACTCAATCAGACTGAAAATAGCACAAACATACGATTTTCATTATATTTCTTGTATATTTCTTAATTATATCTTATTTATATATCTGTTTATCTATGTGAAAAATTAAATTTTTATGTTTTTAGGCTTATAAACCTCAGTGGAATTCCTTTAATAAGGTGATAGCGCATGAGTCAGTCACAAACAAGTGCCTGTTTGAGGAAACAGTTATTAAATATTTCGTTATACATCAATTTAAATGCTTGAAAAACTGTATTGAGCCTTTGTACATCACAAAGTTTTCGACATTCCATATTTTGACTTATATTTCACATATAGCGATATTGTTATACACGCACGCACGCACGAACACACAAACATACATAACAGCATGTGTTTTATTCTTTCTCAAGGCAAAGGCAAAGTCAAATTTCCTTAATTACACGCATTTATTTTGACATGAATAAATAGGGTTAGTTATAAATACATTGGTTCTCTTTTATATCTTATTTGAATCAAATCTTAGGCAGAATGATGTCACACTTCATAAAATGACGTCAATTAAGGCATTTAAGCATTTTGCTGCGCATTTGAAAATGCTAAAACATCCTTGCTTTTAATATGCAAATATAAGAAACAACTCGAACGCACACAGTGGTTTGATGAAAATGCTAAAACATCCTTGCTTTTAATATGCAAATATAAGAAACGACTCGAACGCACACAGTGGTTTGATATAGATGCACTGTGCATGCCACTTTATTTTATTGAATTAGTTTTCTTTTCTAAAACATATTACTGTATCAAAAAGATATGTATTTATTTACAGTTTAATCACTTTTATATAATTATGTCAATGATAGTATTTTTTTATTTACTACGTTTGTAAGCGATAAGTACGCCGCTTTGATAATGTGAGAGTGACGTTACATTTTCTTTTGTACATGTACACACGGATTTATATTGTAATATAAATCCGTGATGTACACTAAAGTTAACAACCTTTGTCTGAATAGGTAAAACAGGGTTTTCAGAAGCGAATATAATGTAAGATAAGAAACCAAATTTGAAATGTCTTGATGGCATAGTTAGTAAAGTCATTAGAATGTCATACACATTAAATTTTAACACAAGTTCGAGTCTCACAAGTTGTCTCACTTTTTTTTGCGTTTTTTTTCCATATATATTTTTTTTAAATTTTAGATTAGAAAAATGAATTGGGATATAAAGGCAGTTTTGTTATGATATTTAATAATTTAGATATAGATGTACGGATGATAGTGATTTTTACCCTGTATAGTGTGTAGTATGTAGTAGTCATAGCACTTTTGCAGTGCAAGAGTATTTCGTGCAAACTTAACTATAGTTGAAACAGTCTGTGAACAGTATCATGCATTCCGTATAAGTTTGCACCAAATTATTAAATAGGGCTAAATATAGCTACATTTTAAACAAAATGAGAAGTTAATAGAAAATAGCACAGTATTTATAATTTTTACAATAAATAATACAAAAATTTCTTACTTGATTGATAATTATAAAACAGTATTTTTCGCAAAAAGGTACAATCCGAACCTGGCTGTCTTGCATTGATATTTACCACAACCTTACCTACTGCATTACGCTGAGAGTTGGTAAATTTGTTGATAATTTAACCACCTCGTCACTTAATTATTTATACTACTACTTGTGAGAATTATCACTTTATTTTTAGTGATGGCACACTGTAAGAGATAATATTGTCAACTTACCTAGTTAAACAGTCTTAACAATAAAACATATTAATCTACACTATTGTATACTAAAGGTATTCATTCGTTGCTGTGAAGTTGTGATGAGATAGTTTTTGAAATAATTGAAACTGAAAAAAACAATAATCCAAATTTGTTAAGATTTAATTTTTATATTAATGAAATGTATAACTGGGTATTCCGCCTTTTACTTAACTGGATATCATTGTGCAAACACGGATCTACATCTGAGTAGCAAATAAAGTTGTCCTTTCGCATATCTGTACATTTTAAACCTTTTTTCAGAACGAATTGACTCCTACTGACGATGCTAATATGCATTGTAAAACGATCAAAAAGATTATGTCAGCACTTTTTCCCAATACAATGTTTTTTTGTACTTATATATTTTTAATCAATAAAATACTCTTTACATAGAACAAAGATACCATTATATTACACGTGTGAAATAAATATATTCGAAAAGGTTTTATAACAAAAAATATAACTTATCATCCGTCATAGATTAATCATTTCATTTAATCCTGTGTAAATGGTTGCTTATAAATGACATCTTTATCCTAATAATATAAAATAATTTTGAAATTTGCGTAAGAAAAAAAAATGTATATATGTATTCGCTTAAATAAAATGCTTGTGTATAGTCTTTTTGAAAGTTGTGATAACTATTTCATGACACTATTTAAACAGGATTTTAAACTCTCTTTTTTTCAGATACACACATGCCGAAGAAGATTGTAATATCTGGAGAAAACATTTCCTACGTCTCGAAATAGACACCGTCACACTGGTCTACGTAACATTCCTATAGATGATTGATATATTTAAGTGCTTTTAAGAACGGTGTTTGAATGAATAAGGATTTTTAGTTTTAATGATTATAATTAAAACTTTCTGTTATAATCAATTTGTGCTATGGACTCATTTTCCTAAAATAATATGTGAATGTTAACACGAACAAATGATATTAATATCTTTAAAATGTTTTATGGGTGTAATTTAAGTGGCTCATGAAAATCATTGTTAAGATAAATAGAAAAGAACTTCAAGTTGGTATAGTTTGTTCTAGATTTAAACAACATGCAATTCATAAAGGTTACGCCTTGAAAATATCGAAAAATGTACATGTATAATTCCATCTTTGAAGAAAATATCGCGTTGAGGATATTCTGCACTGTGATAGGTATTACATGACTCTGTATCGCAACATACCGGTGTTATAATCGCCATTCCGTTGCAACGCTATATTAATGTGTCCCTCTAGAATAAGGCTTACAACAATATATGACTGTTGAAGCGAAGACATGTTTTTTTGTTTAATATATGTATGCATATTGAATATATGTTTATGAAATAATAAATATTTAAGAGTGACTCGATTTGGTTTTTACTTTATTATTTTTTATTTGAAATACTCCAATTGTGAAGCATATGACTTTACCGTTCCCATTCACAATATGTAATCAAACATGTTCAATTGTATACGCCTGCATTTCGGTCATGTATACGTGTCACTTATATGTAAATGCATGTTTTTGTTATTATCTGTACCTTCTTTTATCTCGAAAATACAGTTCTGTATATCCTGTGTACAACACAAAAATGTAATTCCGTATATCCCCTGTATATATTGAAAATACGATTCCGTATATTCCCTGTATATACAGAAAATACGATTCCGTATATCATCTGTATATGTGGAAAATACGATTCCGTATATCCTCTGTATATACGTAGAAAATACGAGTCCATATATCCTCTGCATATGTAGAAAATACGGTCCCGTATATCCTTGGTATACTAGGGATAACAATCTTGATAAATTCAGTATACGGGATTTTATTCTCCGTATATTTCAAAAGTACGAACAAATACACGTACATGCCTGATGCATATACTGACTTCCCGTATACCCGGTGTTCCCTTTACGGACTCGTATACTTGGTCCGTATATTCGACAAATACATCCCGTACACGCCCGTATTTGTCAAAAATACGGGACTGTATATTCCAGTATATAAGTATATTTTTCGCAGTGTAAACTGGAATTTGATGCATTCAAATCATTGAATGTAAAAGTTAAACATAATAATATCCAAAGCTTTTGTATCAATATTTTTTCCGTATTAATAATGCAGCAATAGAAAGGTAAATTAAAAAAAATGCTGCCTAAAAAAATCTTCAGTTGGCACTCTATAATTTAAAAAAAAATCTGACACAAGTCTTAATCCAGTTTACTCAGGTCATTATGTACATTACACACACATTAATTGCATCATGCTTACCATATTTGGCAGTAGGGAACAGACGCTATGTCACTCGATACCTGTATACATGTTAACTGTGTAATTGACTGGCAGAGGTGTGTAGAGTTTGTGTGCTACTGGATTATGATTGGAATTAATTATTTTGGCCCTCTGGGTGTTAAAATAGGTATTATTTATCTGATTAACGGACGGTTAAAAGGTGTGAAAGTCGTTTAAATCAGACAAAACATTGCATTGGGACCAGACAGTTAGGGTCACTTGTCACATATGACAGGGAGTCGTTTAATTCAGACAATTTATATAGGAAAATACGTTGGGAGTACTGAAACAAGGTCGGATAAGACAGGGAGTCGTTGAAATCAGGGGGTCGCTAAGGCAGTCTCGACTGTATAGTAAAAACTTAAAAAATCTTCTTTTCTGAAGGTACAAGGCTTAGAGCTTATATATTTGGTATATAATATCATCTATAGGTCCTGTACCAAAGTTGTTCAATGTTTGACCCTGGTGTCATAATTGGCCCTTACACAAATAACAGGATACAGGTGAGCAATTTGGGGCCTGTCTCGTATGAGTACTTTACTTCTTAATTCTTTCTCTGATGTGTTTGACTTTTGAAATAAGAAAAGTAGAGTATGGCCCCGTAAGACATTGGCACTTGTTACAATTGTTTTTTTATATGAACTGCAGAAAAATCCAACAGCTGTACGAACACCTGAAGAGGACAAGGGTCTTGAAGAATATATGCTGAATCATGTTGTGAATGTAGACAAGTTTGCCATGTTGAGTCATCATTTAAACAACATTTGTCATGATGCAGTTGATTCTACATACATGAAAGATACAGATCTTGCACAAGGTTTGACTTGTTTGATGATTATCATTCTTTTTAGCTCACCTGAGCACACATTGCTCAGAGGTAAGCTTTTGTGAAGGCAATGTTAAATACATTGTTTGGTGTTAACCACAATTACAATATCTCTTAAACCACAAGGTAGATATTTACCTAACTTCAATGAAACATATATGCATTTGTACTAGGGGCAAAGGACTTAAGTACTTGCCAACTTATTCAGTGTCAAACAGTACCAGTTTTGGTTTAGTACTGAAGTAAGAGTGCATTTATTTTTACCGTAATTAAGTATCAGTATGTTCATATATCCGAGGGGTTTTTACCCACAAAATCTGAAAAAGACTTGGGTAAAATTTAGTAAAGAGCATTTGGCATTGTTATGCCACTGCAGCATCTGTGTGTAGCATCATCTTATGAAAACTTTACAAAAATTGTTCAAATTATAGCCCTTGGGTCAATATTGACCATGCCCGGGGGGTCATAGATTTTTATTACGAACATAAAGAAAACATTTAACCTTTTCCCTGATGCAAGCGACTTTCGCCAACTTTTATCATTCCCTGATAGAAGCGAGAATTGACCGCTTTATCCATTACCCCATGTAAGCGAGAATGCTCGACTTGCATGATCTCAATGGAAGCGAGAATCGTCGACTTTACTTTTACCTGTCCAAAAATCGCTAATTTAATACGAAAATTAGTCTGTGAAGTGTGTTATCCTAAAGATTGATCATTCATAAGGGCATTCCGTGCATAAAATTAGGGTGTTACTATTTAAAGTATTTACATAAATAGCGACCAACAAAGCTAGGGGCTTTCCTTACATCACGCACTTACTGCATGCGAGTGGCAATTAACTAATTATAGAACGTATCAAAACTGAATTAAAAATACTGTACATGTTCAACTAATGAATATTAATTAAGCATTAACATGGTCACTTGTTTTCAACGTGATAGATTTAATGTGCTTTAGGGTACATGTTTGTTTGTTTTGATTTATGACTGCCGACACAGATTAATAGCTTAGCCCTTGCAATAAAATATTTCTGTAGCAGCGGGGATTCCATCATAAAATTGACTGACAAATAAATATTTGTAAGTTGACATCCTTTCTTGTGCATTATTGTTAATATAGCAAACACAGCATGGTGTCAAGTATTGCACAATATACAAGATCATAATCGCAACAAATGTCTTTGAAATACCGCCGTGTTGTATGAAAATTGATCATAAATTTTTCAGGTCGTTTGTAAATATCTACGCAATAATTAGTTTACTGACATTGCTAATTTGACCGCTTGATTTTATGTCTACAAAGTTATTTTTGAAAAAAAAGTAGAGGTACTGTGATAGTCAGTCGCGGCGGCGTTGCCGTTCGCAAACTTGTACCTGGATCATGACTTTTTAGCTCACCTGTCACAAAGTGACAGGGTGAGCTTTTGTGATCGCTTTTCGTCCGGCGTCCGTCCGTCCGTCGTCCGTAAACTTTTACTTTAAATGACATCTCCTCATAAACCACTAAGCCAATTTCATCCAAACTTCACAGGAATGTTCCTTTGGTGGTCACCTTTGAAAATTGTTCAAAGGAATTTAATTCCATGCAGAACTCTGGTTGCCACTGTCAAAAGACTCCATGAAGTACTGTGGTGTATCAACTCCGTACCGTGGCGTAAGAGCTTATGTACGTTCAGCAATGGGAATGCCTGGTTCTGAGACAGCTCTTGAAGAACTCACGTGTAGAGTGTTAGGACACCTAGTTCAAGATGGTACTGTTGCTAAAATCGCAGATGATCTGTATTGCCATGGCAACCGAAAGAAAAACTTTTAAAATCTTCTAAAAAAAATTCGAATGAGCTAGAGCTTAAATATTTGGTATGAAACATTATCTAGTCAGTGCCTACCGAGTTTGTTCAAATAATAGGCCTGGGGTCAAAATTGGCCCCGCCCGGGGAGGGGGGTCATTGATTTTCCTTAATTGTATATTGTAAAAACTTAAAACACTTCTTTTAAAAATCCCAAATAGCTAGAGCTTAGATATTAAGCATGAAACATGTTCTTGTGGGTATCTACCAAGCTTGTTAAAAAAAAAGCCCTGGGGTAAAAATTGGCCCCGCCCCAGGGGGTCATTGTTTTTCCCTTTATGTATATAAAGTAAAAAAATAACAAAAAACTTTTTTTAAAAAACCCAAAGAGCTATAACAAAGATATTTAGCATGAAACATCTTCTAATTGGTGTCTACCATTTTTGTTCAAATAAGTGGCCTGTGGTTAAAATTGGCCCCGCCCCGGGGGTCATATGTACATTAAAAACTTAAAAAATCTTCTTTTAAAAAACCCAAAGAGTTAGAGTTTCGATACTAAGCATGAAATATCTTCTAGTGAGTGTCTACCAAGTTCATTCAAATAAAAGCCCTGGGGACAAAATTGACCCCGCCCACAGGGAGGGCGGGTCATTCTTTTCCTTTATGTGTATTGTAAAAACTTAAAAAATCTTCTTAGACTTAGAGCTTAGATATTTATCATGAAACATCTTCAAATGGGTGTCTACCAAGTTTGTTCAAATAAAAGCCCCTGGGTTAAAATTGGCCCCGCCCGAAGGGGCCAATATACATGGCCCTCTTGTTCAAAGTTTAATACAGCTGTATAATGCAGTAAATACCAAACTTTTTATCGAGTAAGAATATTTCTATTTTGAATCAAATATTATACTATGGCCTTTGTATCTGAACATTTAACTCATATGCACATTGTCTTTCATTTGAAATGCTAAAATATGACCTTGGTACCCAAATTCACCAGACACAACTGCATTATTGCAAAGTTAAATTGTATAGAAACATAAAAAGTACCTACTGTTGTTGCTAATATTTAGTTGTATTAATGCAGGGTGGCGTAACATTTTCACAAATGAAATCTGGGGCGTTCTTGGTCGAACTGTTTAGGTCGTTTACTTCAAACCACTTGTCCATCACCGCTGTGGGTTCGACTCCCAACAGGGAATTTGTTTTCTTTCATGTGAAGAAGCTATTCAGTTAACTTACAGAACATCGGTGGTTCTACACGGATGCCCGTTCATGCCTATAATAATGCACGGAACGGCACCGAGGTCTTCCTGCACAAGAAAAACTGGAACGTCGCCAGTGTTGGCGTGACATAAAACATAATCAGTCAAACAAACAAATGCAATCTTATTCTCTGAAAGCTCTTGTATGAGAGTTGGAGCTTAGATATTTGGCTTGAAATATTGCATTGTGAATTTCAATCAAAATTGTATAAATTATGTCCTGGGGTCAAAATTGGCAAAAGAAAGTATGTCATGGGTTTTCTCTATATAATATAGTAAATTTATTTTTTTCTCCAAATCTACAGGAGCTAGAGGTTTGAATTTTGGGATAAAGCATTTTCCAGTGAACCACTACCAAGGTTGACCAAATTGTAGCCTAGTTTTATGATATTGCCATTTTTCTGGTTTAATCTGTGCATCTAAGCTGCTTTTGTCCATTAAGTAAAAAAGGACTAAGTTTGATGGAAAAGAGACAGTTCTCCAACAACTGTATTATTTATCTTCAATTTCATAATAACTTAAAATAATTGTATGATCTTTAACCTTGTATCTTTAGTTAAAAGTCTATATAGTATCTTCATTATTCCCCGCCGATGGAATCGGGAGGGGGATATAGTTTTGGCGTTGTCCGTCCGTCCGTCCGTCCGTCCATCCGTCCGTCCGAATTTCGTTTCCGGAGTAGTTCTCTGCAACTACTGACTGGAATTCAACGAAAATTTATGGGAATCATTAATATCAAGAGGAGATGCGCATATCGTCAGCTTGTTCCGGTCAGACCCTTTAACTCGGAGTTATGGCCCTTAATTAGTTATGTAGTATGCATATAGAGTAAAATTTCGTTTCCGGAGTAGTTCTCTGCAACTACTGGCTGGAATTCAACGAAACTTTATGGGAATCATCAATATCAAGAGGAGATGCGCATATCGTCAGCTTGTTCCGGTCAGACCCTTTGACTCAGAGTTATGGCCCTTGATTAGTTATGTAGTATGCATATAGAGTAAAAATTGTTTCCGCACTACTGCTCTGCAACTGCTGGCTGGAATTCAACGAAACTTTATGGGAACCTTCAATACCAAGAGAAGATGCGCATATCATTGCCTTGTTGGGGTTAGACACTTTAACTCAGAGTTATGGCCCTTGATTAGTTATGCAGTATCCATATAGAAAAATATTCGTTTCCTCACTACTTCTCTGCAACTACTGGGGGAATTCAATGAAACTTTATTGGAACCTTCAATACCAAGAGGAGATGCGCATATTGTCGCCTTGTTCGGGTCAGACATTTTAACTTAGAGTTATGACCTTTGATAACTTAGGCAGTATACAACCAGAGCAATAATCGTTTCCGTGCTACTTCTCTGTAACTACTGGCTGGAATTCAATGAAACTTTATGGGATACTAAGAAGAGATGTGCATAAAGTTGCCTTGTTCCGGTCAAATACTTATAACTCAGATTTATGGCCCTTGATTAGTTATGTAGTATGCATACATCTCATTGGCATTTCCAGATATTCCTTTTTAACACAAAGTTATGGCTCTGTTATTGCCCTGAATATTTATCAAGTTCAAAGAATATTACTGTTTATGTCATGATTAATATATAAATAAAGCCTTATGTCTTCAGTTGTTGTGTTAATAAAAACCAGTACTCGGCGGAGGATATAAATTCAACGAATTTGCTTGTTTACCGATGAATGTTTTTAAGTTTCTCTGTGGATCTTTTAAGTTTAAATTTTTTTATATCCCGGCAAACAAAGTTATTCATGGCCTGTTTGTCTTGTAGAAATGGCACTAATATTTATAAGCATTAAGAGGTGGTTAGAACTGATTTTTATTATTTTTTTTTGTAATTTTAAGTAAAATATTTTTTGTTCCATACTTTTTGAAAATATATTAATTTCCATATTGTGTATAAATTACTTGAAGGCTTGAGAAATAACGAATAGTGAATCGATAACACTTTCAAGATTTAGAAAAATTTTAATTGGTTTAGAATTAAAAAAGATGCTATTTTCAGTTTTAAAACAAGACATGCAGAAGATAAGAAGTGAAATGAAGATTCCAGAAGTACAACAGCTGTCAAGATGTAAGGACACATCAGAAATAATGAAGTCATGTTTATGTCAGTACCAGTTGTGTATTGGCTGGTATCCATGTGGACTAAAATATTGCAGAGGCAAAGATTCTGCTGGTAAAGTTGTCAGTTATCGGTGTGGTATAAAGACTTGTAAACGGTGTATACTGTTTGAACACCCTGCAAAACAGAAAATGTACTGCTTATGGGATGATCTTTAAACTTGACAGTTGAAAAGTTTCGTTTGTGTGCTTTAAAATACCTTCAACAGAGTATTCCCAATTCCGAACATGTAAATCCCTTACATCAACAGATCAATTTACATCCCCATCATGTAACTCGTCATCACCAACAGATCAATACCGATCATCCCCATCACAACATGTTGATCACCATTCCCAAAAGCTAAATCCCCATTCTGAACTGGTCAATCCAGATAATCAATAGGGTAATTCTAAACAAGTCAATCGCCATCTCGCTGTCACAACAGGTCAATCCTTATCCCTAGCCGACCAATCCCCATTCTCATCTGGTCAACCCTGATCCTATGCCAAACAAATCAATCCCAAGTCTTAACAGGTTAATCACAATTTCAACAGGTCAATCATCTTTCTCAAGGAGAAGATACCCATCTCCAACAATCAATCCCCAATCGTAACAGGTCAATCCTCATCCTCAACAGGTAAATCCCCATCATCCACAGGTCAGTCCCACCACTTGCCCCTCACCGCTGTGGGTTCGAATCCCAAAAGGGACTTTGTAATCTTTCATGTGAGAAAGCTATCCAGCTAGCTTCCGGAACATCGGTGGTTCTTCTCAGGTGCCCGCTTGTGCCTGAAATAATGCACGGAAGGGCCCCCTGAGGGCTTCCTCCACTAGTAAAGCTGGAAGGTCGCCATATGACCTATACTATGACAGTGTGACGTAAAACAAACAAAACAGGTCAGTCCTCATCCTCAACACAATCATCTTTCTGAAGGTTAAAATTTCAATCTCAAAAAAGTCAATCCCCAATCTTAACAGGTCAACCAATCAAGCTCCATCTCGACAGATATGTCCTCATTCTCAACAGACAATCGATCTTTCTCAAGTAGTAGATCCCCATTTCCAAAAATCAATCCCCACCATCAATAGGTCATTCACAAACATCAACAGATAAATCCCCATCATTAGTGATAACATGGAAGTACACCAACCAGATGGAACCTTATTCTCAACAGTGAAAATGAGGATGATGGAGTACCAATCGTACAACATATCCAACATATTGAATACTTGAGATTGTACCAGCGATTTCATCATGAAATCAAGTGTATTATGATTAAAAAGTCTGAAACGTCCTTCAAAACATGGAGGAACTGTTTCACAGAGGATAGAGTTTTTCTCATAACTTGTCAGGAGAAACTTCTCATAATTTCTGATAACTGTCAGCGGTTCCAGGAAAGTGTATAGGATTTCGTCGTAGAACGAAGAAATACGCGTCAAAAATGGTTATTTTCATGTTTAAAAAGAGTTTGAGGTGCTAGGTGGTTAATTAAACTATGTTGATTTAAGCTTGTCTTACATATTGTGTTATGTGTCAGAAAAAAATTTATATTCTATTTTTCATTGCCTCTTGATTAAAATCTGGTAGTTTTCAAATGTTCTAAAGTTCTTCTGATAACTTTGAAAATTAGCATACTACATTTCATAATCATGTACACCCTTACTAAATGATAAAGAAACGCTGAATGTACCATACCTTAGCGCAAGAAATACACTAGCATTAACAGAAGTTATCAGAAGAACTCTAGGACATCCTCAGAGTTATCAGAAAAACTTTAGGACATTAGAAAAATCGGGCATAAATTTGTAAGCAGGAGCTTTATGATTGCAACTTTTCATTATAATTAGGTAGTTAAGTATGGCAAGGAAGAACTCACAAGTAACAAATGGTCAGTATGGCAAATGGGCAAATAATTTGGAAATCTTATTCAAAAGTACTAGATTTTAAACAAGATGTTCCTCCGCATTGTTATATAGAACATTTAACTATCAATAGTCAAAAATCCAAATATTTAGAAGTCTTTGATCTAGTGAATTATGAAGGCATGTGTTTTGAACTGTCCTTAAATAAAAAAAGTGTAACCGAACTTAGTCTCTTCTCCTTAGGTAGCATTGGAGAGGTAAATCTGGCTAACAAAGCAGCAGGCTCGAAATAAACACATAAGAATACAGATTCTACTTCTACTTATTTATTTTTCATTTATTCATTATTCGCAAACACTCAAACATATTAAAAGTTATAACACTCAAACTTGACATTATTCAAATATTTACAACATTAAAAAGAATACTTCCAATGAATTATACTGAGATACTCAAATATTTTGTATTCCATATTTCTATATTTCTCCTCCATCCTAATCTAATCTCAATCCCAATTTCCTCAAAATCCCCTTTACTGAGGATAATGTCATGCTATAACAAATAAGCTATTTTCTTGTTATATTTTATATTGTGTATATTAAATAAGTGAGTGAAAGCAAATGTTTTATATGCAGCTTTAAAAGAAACCCACATATACCCCCGATGATTCGGATAGCATTAACGAATGTACAACGTGTATATAGTGCTCGCCACGTCGGTATTGATGTTGTGCCATCACTAAAATGTACTAATTCAATCGAAACTAGGTGCTCAAAAGGCCGAGGTTCCTTATTTTCAATATTGGACTTAAGAAATGAAGACTCTGAAATAAATCCAATGATTCTAGCAAATATGACTGAAAAAATAGTTTTCCCTACGACTCACTACGGCTGTGAACTATGGAATAGCATGACATTGAATGATTTAAATATTGTAGAAAAGTGTGTAAGATTCTGTGCCAAACGTATACAAAATTTCAGTCAAAGAACAAGAACGGACATCGCACTTAGTATGCTTGGTTGGTCCTTAATGGAGTCGAATATTGACAAAAGAAAATTACTTTTTCTCGAAAAACTATGCACAACACCAACATATCTACTGGCAAGACAAATTTTCGATCTAAGATTACAGCTGTTTATAAATGGAAATTTCACTATTCAGAAAGGATTCATACCAGATATATCTAGAATTCTGAGAAAATATAATTTAACATATTACTTATACAACTATGCAAAAAGTGGTCGTTTTGCTTCTAAATGGATGTGGAAGATAATTGTTAAAAAAACTGTTAAATCGTTTACAGTTTGTGAATGGAGAAAAAATATCTTTGAAGATGAAGACTTTATTCGTTTCAGAAGATTACATCTGGACCTTTAACCTGCTATAATTTACGAAATACCACGTAATGCTCAGGAGTTGACTTTGTGTATGTACATTGCAAAATTATGGGCAAGTGTATCATACTTAAAAATCCAGATGTGTTTAAAATGTAACGTTCAAACAAGTGATATATTGACACATACTCGTATATGTTTAGAATGTCCATCTAACAACAATGAAAGATCACACTTTTTTGATCAACTCAATTCCATTGTAAATAGCAATATTATACAAGACATACATAATCTTTCAAATCCTTTAAAACTTGACGCTATGATGGGATCTCTTCTTTTAAACACATGTGCAATAAACCCAAACGAGTACCACTCCTTTTTATTCCAGTCGTTTGCTTATATAAAACTTGTAGTAGGCAACAAGTTTACTGTCAGAGAAACTAACTGAATATTTTACAAATTGTGTTATATCAAACAATAAGCGTATTAAGATGTTAATCCATTTTTTAGTGTTTTTGTTTTCGTTAAAGCACTAATTTTAAATGGAATTCTAGACAATAAATTATATAAATATACATATAAATCTCACAGCATCTTTTGTTACAAATGTAAATATGTATAATTATATTATGATGCATATAAATTTATGTGCTTAACCTATGTTTACACCATGACCTATACATGTATTTGCTATGTTGAATTATTGTATAACTTGTAATGATTGTGATTGTACATATTTATATATATATATATATTCTTCTATTATGTTAAAATCTATGAAAATGGGAAATAAAGTGTAATAATACAGAGAAGCCAACGTGCTAAAAACCTTTTACACTAGACAAAGAATTGCAAAATGCTTGTTATATTAACATCTGTGATAAACTTAATTCTTTTTAAAACATAGACAATTAAATTTACTAATAGTGATTAGAAAATATGTAAGTTATTTCTCAAGTATTTTCAGACTTAAGCCAGAACTTGTAGTTCCGCCTCTCCAGAAATAATGGTTAATTATTGGTTAACTAAGTTAAACCAATGGACAATGAGAGAACCCCTTAAAAGATCCCTTTTCCAGCTGGCAGTATCATTCTGCCTGATTAATAACTATATGTGTTGACAAATTAAATAAAGCTGGAAAAGTGGATTAAACTTTCTTATATTTTTATATCTAGGTAAGTTGTATTTTATTCTATGTACATTTTGTAAATGTTTGATGTTAAACAATTAAAATTTAGTTAAGAATACTAAGCTGTTCTTATTTTGAATACTTGAAAATATAATTATGTTAAAAACTTTGTTAAAAACTTCAGGTAACAAGATGTTACTTAATATTTGAATATTATCTATTTTTGTCTTATAAGCAATTCAAGTAAGTGAATATAAAACTTATTTTCATTGATATGTTAGAATTTAATATTATGTTTATATTAGATCATTCTGCCTGATTAATAAGTATATGTGTTGACAAATTAAATAATCTTGTTACCTGAAGTTTTTAACAAAGTTTTTAACATAATTATATTTTCAAGTATTCAAAATTAAATAAAAGCTGGAAAAGTGGATTAAACTTCTTATATTTTTATATCTAGATATTCCCCATTGTGAAAGATTCTGCACCGATAATCGAAAGCAGAACAATAAACCTACTATTTATACTAAAACATTACCAGAAATATTCAGGTATACCTGAAGAAATAATTAACTTACTTAAATTGAGTAATGTTAAATTATGTTAACCTTTTACCCCATGAGCATATTGTGAAAAATGGCCATTTTCACTGAAAAGCCTCCTGTCAATTTTTTAACAACATTTCTCAAACGAAAAACAGTGTTTGGAGCCAAAATAGGGCATTTTTTCACTGTTTGAGGCCTCTCAAAGCGGGGGGGGGGGGGTGCAAAAAGCCGTCAAAACACGTCTATATGAGGGAAAAGGTTAAATGATATTGCATAAGTAACCAGAAAGTGGGTATGACCTGAAAATGTCATATATTCATTTAGAGTACCTGAATAGATCATGTTACCTGGAACTCTAATAAATTGGTATAACAGATTAACATGTATTAGATAATTGACCTGACCAGCTCAGGTATTTTGCTTATCAGACTGATTTATGGTAACCTGAAAATGCAATTTACATCTACAAGAAATAAGTAGCACTTGTATTCATTACCAATAAAAAGAAAATGAAGACTGTTTTTAATCCAAAGTAAAATTACTTTCCATAATTAATAAACTAAAAACTGTCACATAAGTGCGTATCCTGGCTTTGAACAACCTCCTAAAATAAAAAATATGAATTTTACTTATATTTGCATGAATCTTAGTGATGGAGTTTCAATATGATTGGTGATCTGAACTTTGATATGAACAGGCTGGAAAAATCATCAATTTTAAGTGATATTGTGATCAAATTACCTTGAAAGTTTTGTAAAAGATAAAGCATGCTTTATGAAGAATGCAAGTCCCTCGAATATTGATATTAATCAAACTAGCACATCAAATTTTTTTTACAACATAGAAAATTTCCATGTTAGTTTCAGAAACTGTTACAATTAAGTGGTTGCTACAAAACAATGCATTGTTGTGAAACAAAACCTAAATTAAGATCATACAAATATTTAAATAAGTCTGTTTTCAAAACTAAATGAGCAAAATTTCATTTCATATTGCATATAGTTTTGATGATGTTAATCAAACATACTAGGCTTTTAAAACACTTTTCAAAGAAGTTGCCATAATCTAGCCAATTCTGGCTGACAATAAACCATTTATAGAGATTTCCATTGGTCACATGGATTATTGATTATTTTTATGCCACCGCATCTGCAGTGACATATAGCGATTCACCTGTGTGTGTGTGTGTGTGTGTGTTTGTGTGTTTGTGTGTGTATTGTATTGCTCTTTCTGAGTCTGACCACTCGGGGGAATTAGCTTTTCTTAAATTTATAATAAATGTTTTTTGGCTTGCAGCCACGGCTGCAAGCCATTTCATATGGAAAACTGGTTCCGGTTAGGTGGTTTCCTGCTTACATCTGTTGGTGCATGATTGAACGGGAAACCAGCTCCAATCGTGCCAATCGCAACTTTTCGGCCTTTTCCGTCACTCTTCGGATTAATGATAATAGCCGATGTAGTTCCGATTGCAATCGTGACAATTCGGGCGATTCCGTCATACTGCGGAATCAGACGAAGTAATATTACGGAAATCCAAGCTATTTTTAGTTACTTCGGTAATCCCAGTTTGTTTATATAAATAGGATTTCTATTTTTACTTGATTTATCGGTTTAAACCGTAATGGTGCCCACTCCTCGCAGCGGTTACTTCCCCTGATCTGTACAGTTAAAGTAGCAAAGCGTGACGTAACAGCTGTGAGGAGTTTGGTGCTGATATCGTCTATTTGTGATCGTGTAACATAGTTGATACATGCTTATTAATTGGTACCACGTAACGAAGTATTTTAGTGCATTTACTTGTCTATAAAGCAAAGGAATGATTTCGCTGCGAAAAAGGGGAAATGAAATGTGCACACTTCTTTTCCTTCAGTATCACGTTAGTATTTTTACGATTGATCATTTTCTTTATTAGTTTTATACAATAGAGAATAGATTTCAAATCGTTTTGACAAAAAATATTCGGTTTTCCAAAAAAAAATCCAACTAAATAAACCCTTTATGATATACAAATACCGTAATTCAAAAAAAAATGTGATAATAAATTGAGACCAAAAAAACACACAATTTTAAAGGGTTGGGATGAAGGCACAACTGTGCAAGCCTTTCCCTTTAAAAGGAAACTTTATTAAGATTTATTACAACACCAGATATTCATATTAAATTCTCTTTTCTTCCAGACAATGAGCTAAATCACTAACACCAGTCCACCTTATAAAATATTATCTATCATCTATCACAATATCATATTAAATCCTTTTATTAAAACTTTTTCCACTTAATGTATGTATTTTATTTTA